AGCCGCTCCTAGGTTCATAATGACTAATTCATAACTGAGATATACTGTAGAGCTGGGAGTTATGTTGTGAAGGGAATTCTTTTTTCATCTTCAATCAGCAATGATTGGCAATGACTGCTCAGTCAGTCTAAATGCCACAGCACAATCTGAGTAGAGAGATTAGTCTAGAATGAGCTTGTGTTGACATGCAGTAGATATGATTTTATCCTCAAACCATAACTGATCACTGTGGTGGGTATGGTTGTTTTCCCAAATCATGTCACCACATGGGGCATTGTGTCTAATCAGATCGACACCCATAATTTGCCCAGTGGAGCCTTTGTTTTTGTCTGTGGAGGAAGAGTTTCAGTGCACAATGAGAAAATGTTTAATAAAGGAGCATGCAAGAAACATGTAAAGAAGGAAAATGGTGATGGAAAATGTATAAACTCTGGTTGGCTCCCAGATTTTGGACTGATGGGCAAACTGATTTAAAAAGTATGAATGTGGTTTTTAGAAATGACATTTTCTTGGTTAAGGAAAAACAAAGGTGTTTAACCAAGTCTCCACCTGAAGCACAATATAACAACACACACAACCAGCAGTGCAAATAATGACAGTTCAAAGTAGCTTGTCGAATGACAATAATACATTTTAATAGCAAAGTATCCCTGATGAAAATGGTCACTTTGAGTTGCATTACCTTGCCTGGATTAGGGAAAGCAGGGCACCCTGCTGGAGCTAGACCTGAGAGGGGAGTTCACCAGTGAATGTCTGGTGGCCAGGCTTTGGCTCATGGGGTCCAGTTGGTCATAGCCCGAAGAAATGACATGAAGCCACTGCCCTGCAGACCTACTACCTGCAGGGAAAGGAATTGGTGTCCGGTGCTATTCAAGTCAGGCAGCAGGCTAGATCAGTTATCTGTGTGTGGGAGGAGAACTGCTGACTGGGACTGGGGATATTGTTGGGTGGTGGAAGGAGCACTAGCATTAGACACTTCTACCAAACAGAAAACAAGCCTAAAATGAAAGAACGAAATAAGAATGCAACTGCCTTTTTAAATGTTGTTTTTGCTGATCAATGTATTTTGTGGTACAGTGAGTAAAAATATACTGTTTGGTGACAGATATACAAATATAAATGCTATGAAAGTGCTTTCACTGGAAGAAAAAAAGCTTGTGGCCATAAGAGAACATTATGTGTAATAACTACTGTTGTAATCAGCCACGTCTCAACCAGTGAATATGAGTATCACAGCATACCAACAAAGTTAATTCAGAGGTCATGTACAAGCTGCAGTATCATTTGTCTGTGTGTTCAAATGTCTGTCAGGTCACGGATTGGAGCTAAACGGCAGTCTTAGGCTATTACCATGGAGACCTTCGTTGTAATGACGCAGACAAAAGCGTCTATTACCAGAGGCTGCGTAGTTGTAGAACATGTGTGTGTGTGGTATTGTGCGACTTGAGCCATAGTGGAAGGTGTTATTGATTGTTGGCAATGATGTTAATATTTGAACACTTTCTGGCGTTGTAATGTGAAACTTGGTTCAGGTAGCACAGGTTTTTTTCTTTTCTGTCTGTGTACCAACATTTGAATCTAAAGATACTGTAGCTTTGTTTACTCCTTGTCATTATGGAGATAACCTCTGGCCTTGTCCTTTATGGGATATGGTGTAAACAGGAGAGAGTTCTTCAAAGACCCTGAGCCAAACATTTTTAAAGAAATGTTAAAGGAGAGGACATGAAGTAAAGGATGCCAGAGCAATGGAAATGAAACAAAAGAAGAAGACTGAAGAGAGACAAAGAAAATAAAAGGAGAAAAGAAAAGGGGAAGAAGAAGAATGTAAAGCAAAGGAGAGGAATGAAAGGGAGGGAAAAGGGGATGACCAAAAAGAAAAGAGAGTATAGAAAGTGAATGGCGAGAAGAGAGCTTCAGTGGTGTTTGGGAAGAGTCTGCGTACGTAGGCTGAGCAGGAATTGGGTTCAAACATCCTGGGGGAAAGAAACAAGTGGAGGTGTGCAGCAACACTGCAGCTAAACTGATAACCAAAACAATTTTCTACTCCCTAATAATGTTTCAGGAAATGTGTGGTGTAACTCTTACTTCACGCCCATTAATTTCCCACTATTCAACCAAGCATACCTTTGAAACAGATTTTCTTATTGTCTTTTGCGTTGGTTTCATTGTTTGGTGTAGCCACTTTTACAACAAAGCTAAAGACTGTTTTTCCGATGCTTTTATTTAATGTTTCTTAATTTCACCTGAATATTGCATTTTATCTGCTTCTAGTTTTAGTTTTACTTTTACTTGTCATCCATTACCCAACGACCAACTGACTTCATTATGTTGTTTATCTGACTGTACAGACACTGATGCTTCAAATGTTCTGGAAAAACATTCACTTGCCTCTGGTGTAAACTACTCAGAGATTAGTGTTGGGAAGACTGAAATAAAGGGGTACAAGAACAGTGAGAATCCACAATCTGCCACAGCTATACTAAAACGTTTGGGCCTGTTTACCTGACTGTACAGACAGTGGTGTTTCCAATTCAAGGAAGGAGGTATGTCCACCTCTTATGTTAAAGTACTCAGAGGTTTGTCTTGGGAAAACTGAAGCAAAGGGGTACAAGAATATTGAGAACAATGAGAATCCACAGTCCGCCACAGGTAGGCACCTACTCATGCATGTTGCTACGTGTACTGTCATATAATTGCTGCTTTTAACAAATTTTTTATGTTTTGTCTAATTTGCATTCTAATGTTTTACAGTTGAAGTCAGAAGTTTACACACACTTTAGGCTGAAGTCAGTAAACTGATTTTTTTTTTACCACTCCATAGATGTCATGTTAACAAACTTTCATTTTGCCAAGTCAGTGAGGACATGCACTAGATGCATGACACAAGTATTTTTTCCAGTAGTTGTTTACAGATAGATTATTTCACTTATAGTTCCCTATATCACAATGCCAGTGGGTCAGACGTTTCCATACACTCAGTTGATTGGGCCTTTAAACACCTTGGAAAATTCCAGAAAATGATGTCATGGCTTTAGAAGCTTCTGATTGGCTAATTGACATAATTTGAGTCAATAGGAGGTGCAGCTGTGGATGTAGTTTAAGAACTACCTTCAAACTCTTTGTTTGACATCATGGGACAATCAAAAGAAATCAACCAAGACCTTGGGAAAAACACTGTGGACCTCCACAAGTCTGGTTCATCCAATTTCCAAACCCCTGAACGTACCACGTTCATCTGTACAAACAATACTATGTAAATATCAACACAATGCAGCCATCACACAGCTCAGGAAGGGGACGTGTTCTGTCTCCTAGAGATTTGATTTATTCTTTCAAACATGTAGAAACAAATGATATCAACACACACATAATTTACACAAATCCAACCAATGCTAATCCAGAATCAGTTTGCTTATACCTAGTACATGTTTGAATGGAGTAGGAAGAAGTCAGACTTATCCAGTCCTACCCCATAACATCATCTTATACAAAAAATTTCATGCATCATTGGCTGCAAGCAGTATCTCTACATAGGTCAAAGAACACCGTCCCACCTGTGAAGCATGGGGGTGGCAGCATCATGTTGTGGAGGTGCTTCTGTTAGTTCATGAGTGCCATGGTGCTTTCATTTTTAAGGCTCTTAATGGTTTGGCACCGTCCTACCTCACTGAATTAGTGCAATGGTACAAACCTACAAGGTCCCTCAGATCTTCAAGCCAGTTTCTCTTAGAGGTTCCTAGGGCCAGATATAAACACTGGGGTGACCGTGCTTTTACTGTTACAGCCCCTAAATTGTGGAATACCTTATTTCTCAATGTTAGATAGGCTACCAACCTGACTGCTTTTAAATCCTTGTTTAAAACATATTTATTTGACTTGGCTTTTAATACTTAGATGCTCTTCTTTTAATTTATTGACTGTATGCCATCTGTGTGTCTGTGTTATTGTGCTGTTTTATTCTTGCATTGATCCTATTTATTTTATTTTAGTTATTTATTGTGATCTCATTCTGCCCATGTAAAGTACTTTGGTCAAATGGATGCTGTTTTTAAAATGCTATATAAATTTGATTTGATTTGATATTTAAAAGCAAAGCTGCAAAATACTAACCGAGTGTATGTAAACTTCTAACCCACTGGGAATGTGATGAAAGAAATAAAAACTGAAATACATCTTGTTCTTTACTATTATTCTGACATTTCACAGTCTCAATATAGAGCAGTGATCCTAACTAACCTAAGACAGGGAATGTTTATAGGATCAAATGTCAGGAGTTGTGAAAAACTGTGTTTACATGTATTTGGCCGAGGTGCATGTAAACATCTGACTATCTATATACTGTATGCATTTTAATGTTTTATCCATCTATGTCCATTATGTTAAGTACATTGAATTGCCATTGTGTATGAAAATGTGCTATATAAGCAAACTTGCCTTGCCTTAAATTGTGTCTGTTCCAGCAAAGAGGATGTACTTGGCAGACGTTAGGTCAATAGAGCTTTATAGATGTGAATAGGTTGTCTTGTGTCTCCAGGAGGGAAAGCAAAGCCCCTGGGCATTCATTTATGCACAGTCTAGGAGAACTGGTTTGCTGGCTCTGCCTCTTATTGTGTGACTTTACTTTATATGGAAGTCTCTTTTGTCAGGAATGTCCTGACCGCAAGCTTTTGTTTTGCTTGTTCTTTCACTGAATTGAGAACAGCTGTGCAAGTATCTTCAGATGTCTATTTTCTGAGTGTTGCACTGATGTGGTGCTGTCATAGATAAATAAACATTCAACCGGTGAAGCGTGAAAAGAGAGCGCTTCATTCTTAGTACAGGAAATGTCTGCAAATGTTTAATAGGACTGAAATAAAAAGACCCAAACTGAGCCCAGTACAAAAGCACTTTCAGGTGAAGAAACAACAGAATTATTATTTATTGCAACAAGAGAACACAGATATAAATAATGAAAAAACATTAGGTAATTGGCATTGTAACCAGCCAAGCATTTACCGGTGTATATAAATACAGTACATAACTCCATATAAATAGTTAACTTAGAGATCCTCTGTAGATTGTAATCAGCGAGCCCTTGACCCAAAGCAGAAATAATCAAAGATGATCTGAAGCACAAAACTAAATGCAATGCTCATCACAACTACCAGATACGCTACGACTCATTTTCTCTTAAGTTCATTCTCGACAGATCAACCAGAAGTAAGAAAGCCAGGCTCACTTTGTGTTCCACTCAGGCCAGTTTGACTGTGTTTTGCATCCTACAGCAAACTGTTTGGCTTTGAGTTCAGAAGCTGTTGATTAAGTAAAGCTGAACTAACAGAGCCAAGCCTAGAACACACAGGTGTGTTTTATCAATATTTACTCATGTTAAAATTTTCTTAACATACCAGCAGAGATAACCAGAGGGCTCAGCAAAGATTGGAGCTGTGTTTTGCTTTATTACTCACTCAGGAAGCAGGAAGTGCAGACTTGGCACAACTGTATAACAGATCCCTGATCATGACAATTTGAGATTCATTGCATAGCACGAGCTTTTCTACCAGCTCGCTCTTTGAAAATCAGCTGCAAAATGACTTGAAATCAGTGTAGCCTCTCAGTTAGCGTTACTGTGCATAAAGGCGACAAAAAGGTGATAGTGGCTCTGATGTCTGATGCCAAACCATGGATCAATCACTGAGTGCATGTCAAAATGTTGGGAGTACTAACTCCCCTTTTATCAGTGATAAGTGATAACCAAACGTGTTGGAATGCCCAATCTGAAGACTGTTGTTTAATAGTCATAATGGAAAGAAAGGAAGTCTAGTAGTATTCTGTAGCAAGATAAGCTTGCAAATTTACTACCCTATCATGCAAAACCCAGAGGTGGTATGCATTCACACAGGATATGCTGCATAGGGAGAAAAATAACAACAAATAGGACAAACAGCATTTCACATGACAGTTCACAGCAAGAGTGTAAAAGTCATGTGCAGTGGGTGTCTAATACCATGGGGCAGGGCCAGAGGGTTTGGGATGTAAGGAAGATAGTAAGGCTCTGATTTCCAGATGTTTCCACTAAGAACTTTGTGTTGTCCCTACTAGTTGAGGTGACTTAATGCTGTGGTTCATGACCAATGTGGTGTAAAGAGGAGCACAAGGTGCTCCAGGAAAAGATCTGAACCCATGCTAATCCAGCCTGGTCGCTGCCCGTTTCCTCCATAATCTCTCCTTCTTTTAATTCATGAGTGCCATGGTGCTCTCAGGCTGGCCACCAAAAAGCCCAGAGAAGAACTCCAGTGCCAGGCGAACGTGGATGGGCACAAAAACGTACGAGGTGTAGATCACCATGGCAATGGCGGAGAAGAGGATGGAGTTAAAGATGGACTTTTCCCAGGGCTCCAGGACATAGATGCCTGTGATGAGCAGGTACTGGTAGTACAGCCAGGCCAGATACTCCCTCAAGTTCTTGAAGTTCATCTTGCAGGCTGGATGAGCAAAAATGGAGGTGGAGCATTGTGAGATTCAAACCGTAAGGAAGGGATGGCGTGGAGGAGGAAATGAGGAGGATAAGACAATAACAAGAATTTAAATGAGACATTTAAAAAAGTACACGCTTATCAATGCACAGAGGACACAGAGGCAGTACATCAAGGTAAAAAATACTCAGCTACACATTCAGCATCATGGAGCCCTCATCTCAGGGTCTTAGAGGATTCAGCAGTGTATGTAAGAGACACTGATGAAATGATAGCCTAGTGGACATAATACAATCCTCGCGTATTTTCTTGACACATACACATGTTCACACATGGGACAATTATAAACAGTGAGGATAATAACGAGGAGGACAACAGGGTCTAGGTAGCAGTTTCCTACTGCCGCAGAACAAACAGCACAGGCGCAAAATGCACTTTAGCGTATAGCTACATGAAATTAATAGGTTCTAGCTTCATAACTGTTTGTATGGGTTTTCGTGTTTGCTGTTTTCCATCCGCAGGAATGTTCTCCTAACCGCATACAACCAGATTCCGCAGCACAGGTAGGGGCGTGGCCAACAGGTGCGCTACAACAGCGGGTCTACTTACCTGTTTTTCTGGAATATAGCTTAAGTAAAAAGGATAAACAAGGCTCATCCTTTTTCTATTCAGAGCACCTATAGGTCTAGAAAAAGCTAAAGTAAAGTAGGATTGTTACTGAAAACGCGCATTTTGGTTGCTTTCTGTGAAAATCAGCACTCTTTAAACAGAATTAGGGTGGTACCTGAAATAAAAGGTCTTGATAAATACCTCAGTTAACAAATGTGGCGCACAAAATGCAAAACTGAAAAAAAAAAATAACGCAAGCAACATTTAGAGTTCCTGTCCAGATGGTAGAAATGTTGAATGATTAATGATCTGTACATAACAATGACAAGTTCCATCACTATTCAATTTAGAGTTTGTTTTAAAACAGATAATTACTAACGGGAATATACCAGCTCTGTGTAGAACAATCCACATGGCAACTCACCTTTGTGGCCGACGTGAGATCCTGTTAATATGTCCCAGTGACAGCTCGGGTCCTGCTGCTGCTACGCTGCCGTAAGTAAACGAAAAGCTGGCTCACCAGTTTGCCACCGATCTATAGGTACTTGTACAAACTGAAAGTGACACCACACCCATCACTCTAAAGTAAAGGATTCACGACTCACCTGACGCACAGATCATGCAGGTGGACTGTATCCGTGGAGTTCAACGCACACGGGCCGGTGTGTGTTTACGCAGCCTAAAGAAAACAGTCCAAGCATCTGAGGCACAGGAGGAGGCGACGTCTCGGTTGCAGCTCTATTTCCTCCATGTGAAGCCTGCTGTTCTGTGTAGCATCTTTAAACTTTCTTCAGCCCGTGTCGCATCCTTCTGCGCATCTGTCCCACCACCATGCTGCAGCCCGACCCTGCGCCGCAGTGCCACCGCTGACGTAGGCGGTAGCAGCAGCGCGGCTGCTGTGCTGCACAGGAGACTACCTTGCTCTCAGTTGCTGGTCGATGCCTAGCTTGTCTCTTAAAAGAAATTGGTGTGGCAAACAGCAGAATCCTTGACCGAACTTTAAGTTTTCTGCCATCATCCGTGACCAAATATGATGCCCTTGTCAGAAGATGTAGCCTAGAGGGATATTCCTATCAGTGAATTGTTTCCTCAATGGCATCCTGACACAAGGTGAAACACTACTGAGTATTCAGTGACAGGACAGCATTAATATTTCTTTATTCAATGGGTTCATCAGGGTGTAATGTTCTTTTAGTTATCATTGTTGTATCAGTTTTTATAATGACTCCCACCAGCCATGAAAAAAACTGCCTGCTACGGTGACCTTGACACATGCTATGTCATTAAAGTAAACAATGGTTAAAATAATATCAAATCAGATGTTTTAAATGCAGTCAGGAAAGAAATGTGATCATGAAAGAAATGACTTTCATACCCTAAAACACCTTTTTGGGGGTTAAGTTCCCACTTAGCAGCTGTTTTCCTGTTAGGGGTGAGGGGCTAACTAAACATGTGCAAAATGAGTTTCATGGTTCTAGCACTTGTCTGAATGGAGGAATAAGGCACTGTTGCAGCTGTCCCTTGCTGCAACCATCATCCTGTTACCATACACTTAGTAATTACTGTACAGAAGTCAAATGTTAAACACAAACTAGACCTTCACCAAACATCCTGGTACTTTTTAATCCCCTCCCCATACTAAGACTAAAGTCCTTCAAGTGTGACTGAACACATACTAAACTGATAAATGTGTGAGGCACTAATAACAACAGAACTGACTAACTTCATCAGCAGCTAATGGAAAAAAAAACCCCATCTTCTCTTCAAAGTCCCTGCCTGAACAGGGGGTAAGCAGAAAAAGTGAGAGGCAGAGCCCAAACACCCCTGGAAAAAAAAACTGTTTAAATATAAGCCGAGGTGGTGTCTCTTTGTTTTGGGGCAATCATACGTACAGTTATGAAGTCTTATCTCCTATCTGCCCAGGTTTTGCTGACCTACTCAATTCTTACACTTGACAACACTAAACACTACTGGTGTGTAAACACAGGCAGCGCTGAAACGGCACACTGGTGATCAAAACGATGAGCGTGACATGTCAGACGCAGCGCAAGGGTCAACACATCCTCACTACTGCAAACACGGGACAGCTCTAAAGAAATGACCCGCTGCTGTCTTTACATGGCGTGTCCTGCCCTGCTTTGCTACAAACACTTTGTAAATCATTTTTCCAAATCAGATGATCAGCCTGACTACGCCTTACTACCGCAGGTGTTTAGAGGTCCAGCAACATGACATGGGCCTACAGATTATCATGGCAGCGAGTCTGTAATACTAGAAACTGCAGGTGTGGGGGGCACAAGAGCTCAGTAAGCGCACAGAGATAGTGAGCTGGGCCTTTGTTTTTTTTTTTTACAAAGTTATCAAATGCCAAGATTACATACTAGACTACTACCTGCATATGAGATCATGTGAAACATAAAAAGCCCCTGTGACCGCTTCCTTGTGAGGATATTTGTGCTTTTGAGTTGCATTTGAGTGCAAAGTGTTTGAATGCAAATGTGCTGAGTGTCATTTTCAAAAGGTATGGTGGTGTCTAGCACTGGCATCTGGATCTGTGTATGTGTGGACATATGGCGTATAAATGGTGACAAGTTAGAGAACTGTTCACACCTGAGACACAGCTTGAGTCAGGTGCACATCACTCCAGATCATTCTGAGGAGCCTCATTTGTTTGTAAAGCTCAGAGCACAGACCACAATTTGTGTCTGAAATGGCAGCACAGCTTGGTGCCTATTTGAATATTCCCCGTGGTAGCCAAATGACAGCATTAACAGGTCTGCCACAGGTTACCACAAGTGTTGCTATTTCAATGCATTACTTGCCATTTCTTAGTGGGCCAAAGCGCCATCTGGTGGATTCCCTCAGCAACGCACCTGACAACAAATTGTCACCTTTAAAATCTCAAAGCAAAAAACGTGCACGAAGTGTGGTTATGGACAAATATTTATTTTGGTACATTGAATTATAACCACTTCACTTCCCATAGTGTGGACAGAGATGATCAGCTGGGACAACAGAGAGTCTAGTTTCTCAATGAGAACATGTTACTGTTACCGTCACTAACCCACCATGTATGGTTTTAACTGCAAGTCATTACACCACAGTCAGAGGAACTGTGGGTTTCTCAGAATAAAACTACTTGTGAGCGAGTTCACCAGTATTCAATCTGCTGTCAGTTCAAAATCCGAGGCCTGTACTTGTATCACATCAGGGGACCTATATTGGACAGTTTAGCCATCGGTGCCCCACAGGCAGGGTGGTGGCCGACTAGTCTGTCATCATGTTGGCACCCTCTCCTCCTGTGGCATCGGTTAGGCTGAGCTCCTCCAACATTTCCATCAGGGAGATGCGTGGCGCTCCATCATCATCGGTGTCGCTCTCCACTGGGATCCTTGACGCATCTGAAATTCAGAAATCAACCTCTGGTTACTAACTATCAATACATCATCTATATTAAACTGTGTGACAAGAGCTCTATTAAGGCCTGAAGTAACCAAACGAGCCTGACAATGGAAATACACAGTTAACATATCAACAGACAGGCTAACAACTCTTGGGACACTGGTGCAGAGGACAGTCTGCAGTGTTCGGCTGCTCACCCCTATAGATGTTGACATTCTTCCTCAGAGCTTCATCCTCTTCCAGGTCCTCCAGGAAGTCCTGGAATTGTCTGAAGACAGAGAAGCAGGTTAAAGGGAAACCACAGCACAGCAGGCAAAAGACCATCAACAAAATATAAGGCATTCTTGGCACATTACCAAACTATTCACCAACCAACTCAAACAACGTCAGGCCTTTAAAATTGCACTGTAGAAAAGGACAGGATGAGGCTGAGACATTTTTGATGCCTTCAATCAGTCACTTCCATTAACATCACACCTTTCATCGTCTGTGTCGGTGCCATCGCGGTTTCTGGCCATCTCCTGCAGTTTCCAGTTCCTGCGCTTCACCCTCCTACTGCGGTCGTAGCTCTTCTTGATCAGGACCTTGGAGAGTCCATGTTCAGGACGTACAAATTACAACACGTCTTTCTTATGTTATTCAATGCACCAATTTAGCAGGTTTCCCCAGAATCAGATGGACAGCTGGTATTTTATGTTGCCACTAGAGGTCAGTGTTATTCAAGTCAACAATAAAGTATCACCTGTTTGCCAATGTTTGTTCACAGACAATGTACAGTGAAGTGTGTTTTGAGTCTTACCACATCAGGAACATGGTGAGGGTTAATCTTATTCAGGTACTCATCATTGATGTTGGAATTGGCAAAGTCAAACCTGCGGGGTGAGAAATGTGCCATCAAGTTTGAATCTCTGTCAACTGGACAAACGCCTGGATGTGTCGTCAACCCTTCATACTCACCCCAGCACCAGGTCTCCGATGTTGAGCAGGTGGCCTAGGAATGTGCGGCAGTGATACTGCTGACTGGTATCCATCTCTGATGTTTTCTGAACCCATACCTCAGCGAGGGTGTGCTGAAACACACACACACACACACGGAATACAAATACAGTTTCAAGCCACTGAAACAACATTCATCTTGTTCCTTTCCTCCAATTTGTTCTGACAGTTGCATCGATAATAATGCAGCATTCAGACCGTGTCCCAGCAAATCTCATTCCCTGTGCCATCGACACAAACACTCCTGTGTTCCTCTCAGTTTGGTCTGAATCCCACATAGAGGTTCAGGGGTAACGAAATGGTTCGCTATTGATTTTGCTTCCAAGAGAAGAGCAATGTTCCCCTATAATGCAATCTGTTCTGCAACACCAAACACAAACATGCACACACTCACCTTATTGGACCTCAGCCCAGCTCCAGCGCCCAGCTTCTGGTCTCTGATGATGTCAATGTCCATAACAATGAACTCTTCCAGTTGCCGTGGGTTACAGAGGCTGTTGAAGGGATGGCGCCAGTATGTGTTCCCATCCACCTCAGCAACTAGTGTGTATGACATTGTTCATACACTGATTAGTAAAAACTAACACCAGTCAGAGCAGACAGCTAAAAATATGAGCAGAAATTATACAGTACCACCTCGTTTTTACTTGACGGTTAAAGCACTTGAAAATTTAATCGCGCACATTTCATCAACTGCTCAGCCACTCTAGATACATTGGATTGCTGTAGATATTCCTGACAACTCAAACAGCAACATACTCCAAGTTATTTAACTAAAAGCCATCTGGGTACAGAAAACAATACAAATCGCATTTGTCTGCCAACACACTAGGCAGCACAACGCATTTCTCTCTGTACTATAAATAAAGCAAACACAAGCAGACAAACTGCAAGGCACATATTTTTAATTCAGCCCAAATGTGCCGAACGGAGCGCTGCCTCCAGGCTCCTTCTGCTGTTCAGCCTGCTCACAAAGTTCTTGCAACAAAAATAGCCTGCTCTTTGAAGAGTAATTAAAAGCGCGTGTGCCGCTTCCAAAATGTCAGAATTCAGCTGAAGAGCATCTCAGCCTCTCACATAATGAATGATTAAACCAGCTACAGCTGAAACACAGCAGCACTAATTGTCACCACACTTAGACTGATTGTAAATCCATATGAATAAGCTGAATTGGCCATGACGGGATGCATAACTCAAACTAGAGATGTGGGGCTTTTCTTTCTGTGTGTCTTGTTCTGTGCCATGACTGGGAACAGAGGCAAGCTGTGGAGTTATACGAGTCGACCAACATGTGGCCAGCACACTGAGCTCAGTTTAGTGAGTCTTTGAAGGGTTTCAGCTAAGAGATGACTCGCAGTTAGATCTCTATGGTAATATAGAGGAAATGCTTTTGTTTCTTTTTAAAGACAAAAATAAATCAATAGCTGCTATCAGTCAATCCCAAAAGATAAATACCACAAAGAGACTGTAATAAAAGCATTGAGGTGAAACAGTCAGAGTCATCTTCAAAGGAGTAGCAATAGGCAACTATGTGGAGAATCCTAACAAAAAGGAAAAGTCAAAATGTGCCACTTTCACTTTTGCAACTGTCAGGATTTGGTGCATTTCTCTGCCTCATGTAAAAGTAAATCAAAATGATGAGTATGGCTGGTTGGACAAGCCAAGGCATCACCTTGGCCATTTTGTTCCAACAAAGTGACTAATCAACTTATAACATTCCTGATCTAATTTAAAAAAAAAGTCTTTAACTTCCATTCCAAAAACATACTAAAGTACTCATTATGTAGAATGGCACATTTCACATTCCTGTATATCCTATTATTGTGTTATAATTACTGATGCATTGTTGTGCACATCACATTTAATGTTGCAGCCGGTAAAGGGGGAGCTGGTTTTAACTGGCTTATATGCATTTACTTTGAATTACTGCTGGGTAGCTTGTGAACATTCCACCACAGAAGTGTGCATTTAATTGTGAGTTAACTATGGACAATTATGTGATTAAATATTTTAATCCATTGACAGCAGTAGTTATTAATCCAAAACATGCTGTGAGCCGACTTTCCCATCCTGCAGCTACATTTTACCACAACAAGGCGAGCTGTAGTTCAGCTGCGGTTTGGACACTTGACTCATCAGTACTCACTCTGCAGGGTGTTGGGATCGATGAGGTGGATGGTGCTAGTCACACGGATGCACACACACACTTGACCCATGTTCCCCAGGCTCTGCGCCAGGCGTGGTGAAAGACACACGACGTTGTCCTGGCAACCAGACACAACATGGGGTCAAACTGAGGCCATGTCCGGTAGCGTTACCCAATACTCTTCTGATATCTGTTTTCATTTATTGAACATGGCCCCTGCCTTTCAAACATGCTGTGAAATCCATGTACCGCCACTTGAAAACCAGAACTAAAGCTACGTGTCCAATGGGATTAAACTATTAAAAAATGAACACAGCCCTGCCAAGAATCTCTCTTTCTGTCTTCGTTTCAGTGTTCAAGTATATTCATACTACCTACTGAATGAGTTTCATGTATTATTACCTGTCATTGTCAAAAATAAATATAACATGAAAGATTCTTGGCCCACTACACGTTTCAATCTGTAAGTCTGAGATGATTTGACAGCTTCTACCACAGCACTCTTACTAAACTAACAAAGTGAAGGCTTCAGAGGTGATGAGTAAAGAAATACGACCGTTCTGGCTTGTCTGAAGCACTAAGCCCACATCAGTGTGTCTCAACTCACGGCGGATCATTTCTGTCAAATAAAACCCAACTATAAGGAAACGCCTCTGTATACCTTGCAGACAGGTACAATCTCCACAGAGAAGGTGCTCTTATAGTTGTATGTGTTTGAATGGATGTCGTGAGAGATGAGGCGCTGGGATGCCTTTGACCTGTACATTTAAAAAGAAAATGTTTATCACCATCACCACAGACGTCACTCAGAAACACAGCAGAGTCCATGTTGAATGCTATGTTAACATGTATATAGTGACAGAAACTATTTTTCCCTCTGAATTTTTAACAGGTTTCCATTCTCTGCCAATGCAGTTAATCTATCGCTACATTTTAGTAACACCTGCTAGAAAATCATCTCCACATTTGCTCACAAATTTCTGGACCACTGGATGGAAACACAACCACTGAATTTAACAGTTGTAATCCATCTGAATACTCTGAAGGCTGTGTCTAAATACATGTAAATAGAAGGTGAATGTGTTCTTAATACTGAGCCTCATGAGGATAATGTTTTCACCTGCACGGCACTGTGCACTGGAGGAAGTCCACCATCTTCTGAGCGTGCTGCTTGGAGCCAAAGTAGAAATCAATCCCCTCTGAGCGAGAAGAGCAATACCATCAATAATTTCATCATTTCACAGACCATCACCGCTGCAAAACATATGCATGGAAACAACAACAACACACAAACACACACGCGCGCACACATACACACACACAGGAGAGCAGATGGAGGTGGGGGGAAATCTGGCAGCCACATGTTGAAACCTTCACAAAGCTTTTAAGTCCTGCCGAGATATGGAGAGGATTGAAGTAGACTACTGGGCCAAAAACCCCACTTCAGTCCTATCCAGGAGCACAGAGCGCTGCTGCTGAGCTGTCAATCAATGCACCGCACATGTGCCTGAGTGTGCGTCCGGCGCAGCAGTTAGCACCTCTCAACGGGGTATGACACAAACCTCCGAGTGCAGGAACCTGCCATGGAATGCCTGCTCTGATCACAGCACAGCACATGCCTGTCTGAGGCCCACCCAAACACAAGACGTGTGAGCTGATGGGCGCCTGTTATATGCATGCATGGCTTGCCCTGGGCTATGGGGAGAGGTAATTAACACATCATTATGTTCTGCTTACTTCTAATCCACACTAGTTATGCTGGTGACAAATATGAAACAAGCTTCCCACTTTTCAGTGTAATTTGGTTAGAGGCCCTAAGGGGGGGGCTATCGTTCATGAAAATAAACTCAAATACATAAAACCATGTGCCACTGACCTACCATGGATTTCTTTGATGTTGAGGGCATTCTGGTGGAGTTTATGCTTGAGGATCAGCTGTTCCAGATAGTAGAATGTCTTTTTATGAACAGTCTGTTAAAAACAACAAACATTTCTCAGCATCATCATCGTACAGAGATTCATTCTGATCCTTCCAGCCCTATGTCACATTACTTAAACCTTTGGTAATGCAAAACTTGGATAAACAGCCTGACGTCTGGCACAACCAGTCGCTACATTTGACCTTTCAGAAAAATGTTCCACTGAAGAACTTCAGAGCCGCAGCTGTCCTATTTTCATTCTGAACAAAATTTAAGATGGGAAAAACACATCTCGGGTACAAAGCACTGGTGAGATTGTTCAAGATTTTAGTACGGGGTTAATTCATACTCCCTTTACCCGTTTCACCGTGAAGAGAAGTGACGCTGGCCTTTAGTGTGAAGTAGCTGCAGATGGCGTTGAGTTATTTAATAAGCAGGGATAACTTTATTTAGGCGGAGACAGCGGTTATAATTCACATGTGGACATATTTCAACCTGAATTTTTTTAATAACGATGGAAAAATCTGAAGGCTGTCACAGAGGGGTGCAACTGGAGTGCAAACAGAGGACTGAGTGCTTCAGGATTGGGAAATCCTACGTACATAGCAACTTCTAATCACTTCCTGAGAGAAATGGTGCCCGACTTCCAAACTCTGGCTGAAGTGGAGCTGGCAAGTATAGTCTCCAGTGTGGCAGCAGGGCAGGAGTTACGTACATAGCAACTTCTAATCACTTCCTGAGAGAAATGGTGCCCGACTTCCAAACTCTGGCTGAAGTGGAGCTGGCAAGTATAGTCTCCAGTGTGGCAGCAGGGCAGGAGTTCAGCTTTCAGATCAAAATTAGCATGGCCAAAGATATAAAACCTAGTAACAGTCACCTTTGCAGCAGGTCAGAATCAGCTTTACTGGCCAGGTGTGTTGAACACATGAGGAATTTGACTAGCACAGTGGCTCTCAATGTGCATGTAAGTTGTCTGATGTTTAGTAGCTCTTCTCTGGTGAAGGTAATCTGGGATGGGTTGCAGAAGGCCGAGAAAACAAGGAAAAACAACAAACACCACCATTGCAGCCATACGTGGCGCCATGATGACAAATGACACAGCTGAGTTCAATTCGGTTATCCTAACTTCATGTAAATGGTAAATGGGTGCCTGTTTGTGCACAATGACCACAGTGTTTTTAATGGCCTCCACTGTCACTATGAGGAAAAAAAAAGTCATCTGCTTCATGTGGTGTTGACATGAAAAGTGGCTGCAAGATGTTTCCACCCTTACATGGAAAAGACCTTTTGCAGCATCGACAGTATCAAACCTTGTGAAATGTAACCACACATACTGTAGTTAAGTCTGCTGTGTGTGTGTGTGCTGTAGGTTACAGATCTGTCTTCTGCAGACCACACATACTGTAGTTATGTCTGCTGTGTGTGTGTGTGCGCGCTGTAGGTTACAGATCTGTCTTCTGCATTTGGAAAAGTGAAAATGCAGCATAGATGAATTGGCCAAGTATGTTACACACACAAGGAATTTGTCTCTGGTACAGAACCGACGTTTAAATAATGTTGCTTTGTTCTTCATAATGATGTGGGCTGAACTACTGCCTTAGTCATGTCATCTAAAGTACTTTTTCAATTAAAGGAAACAGTGGGTGTGAGGGTAAATTTAGCTTTAGCTAAGGCTACTGCATCTGTGGTTTCCTCACTATATAGCTTTACTTTGGGTCTTGGTTTTGCTGTACTTCCTGCCAATTGTACATAATGTGTCTAGATGTTTTGTCGTACACTGTCCTGGAGCACCAACCAAAGGGCTCAATGATTCCTCTGTAGAATTGTATCAGTAGCTCATGAGGCAGGTTGGACTTCCTGAGCTGACGCTTCCTCTGCCGCGTCTTTTTGATGATGGAATTGATGTTGTTTGTCCACTTCAAGTCCAGAGAGATGATGGAGCCCAGGAACTTGTAGGACTCCATGACTGGAACAGTGCTGCTGAGTATAGTGAATGGAGACAGGGTGGGGGAGCTCCTCCTAAAATCCACTATCATCTCCACTGTCTTCCATGTGTTCAGCTCCAGGTTGTTACAACCACACCGCGGGGCCAGCTGTTCAACCTCCTGTCTGTAGGCCGACTAGTCATCGTCTTGAATGAGGCCGATGACTGTTGTGTCATCTGCAAACTTCAGGATCTTTACAGAGGGGTCTCCTGAAGTGCAGTCGTTGGTATAAAGGGAGAACAGTGGCGGAGAGAGCACACATCCCCGAGGAGCACACGTGCTGATAGTCTGGGTGCTGGATGTGGTTTTCCCCAGCCCTCACCTGCTGCTTCAGTAGGTGAGTCATTCATTTCCTTGATAGAGGATTTCTTGGTAACTGAGATGATGATAGAGTGTTTGAAACAGGAGGGAACTACACAAAGCTTTAGTGATCTATTGAAGATCTGTGTAAAAATGGGAGCCAACTGGTCGGCACAGGAGGGGGTCACACCATCTGGGCCTGGTGCCTTTCTGATCTTTTTTTTTTTTTTTTTTTTTTTTTTTAAAAGGCTACACACAGACCTTTTTCACAGACCCTCAGAGGAGGTGGGCTGATGGGAAGAGAGGTGGTCCTGGGGGAAGCAGCTACTGGTTGCGGGTCCAAGATGAGGTGAGGGAGGGGTGAGGAGTCCTGCCTTTCAAACCTACAATAAAACCCATTTAGTTCGTCAGCCAGCTGATGGCTGTCCACAGCAGGGGGCGGTCTCCTGTACCCGGTGATGTTCCGTAGACTCCTCCACACTGACGACAGCTCAAAGGCCCAACACTGATTTTTCGGCCTTTCTGAGTAGCTCCTCTTTGCTAGTCTGATCTCCTGCCAGTGTGTTTCTAGCCTGGTTATACAGAGTCCTATCCCCACCCCTGTAGGCCTCCTCTTTGACATGACAAAGCTGTTTGAGCTTCACTGTGAACCAAGGTCCATTGTTATTAATGGGCACACACATGTCCTTACAGAAACTGATATATGATGTCACAGTGTCAGTATACACATCCAGGTCTGTAGGTTTGCTCTGTTAAAATCCCCCAAGATAATGAGCAGGGAATCTGGATGCTTCTGTTCCATGATTAGAATCCGCTGAGACACAGATTCCTCTCTTTTTTCCAGGGAAATTCTTTCACACAGTCCGACAACAACAACAGCAACAAAAGCACACAGGAGCACACCACTGAGGGAGCCCTGGACGGTGCCATGATTGCAATCACCTGTTGACATCACCTGCTTCAAATGGAATCATCATTTCACTGTTTTACCTCATTACTGGCCCTGAAATGCAGCCGTCCCAACATTTTTGGAATGTGTTTCAGGCATCAGAGTTGAAGTGAATGTTTATTTTGAACAAAGAATAAAATTGATGAGGTATTACATCAAATAATGTGCTGCTGCATTGTTTTCAGTGTAATACTATCAGCTGATTTACACATCCCTATTTTCACTTTTAATTTTGATTTTACATGCCATCCCAACGTTTTCTGATATGGGGTTGTAGATCTCACCTACCTTCTGCCTAACTTGCACCACAGCCTTCCAGAAGTCTTTGGCTTCCACACGGTGGCAGTCGTCGCACATCTGGGACTGGATGACAAACTCGACCACAAACACCTGCTGTAGGATAGCACCATTCATCACCTGGTGAGACAAAGACAGCAACAAGTTACACCATATGCTCTTAATGCATGGCGAGAGCTCGGCACTTACAGTCCTTCACTTCGAAAACACCGTTTCTGTGTCGGCATTTTTGAGCCATTTAGATACATCTGCCCAGTGAGATCTGCAGACAGTATTACACAGTCCCTCCAACAGCACAAACAAAAGATTTGGCCCCAAACAGCACAGGGCTCAGGTTCTCACTAAAGGTCAAGGAGATGAGATGACAGCCACTGGCAGCAGTCACCTGTTTCAGTCTAGATCAGACAACTTCATTTTAACAGTTTATGCTGACGTCTGTTGTGAACATGACAAACTAAGTCACAGAGTGTCACTTATAGAAATTAGGGGTGTGTGTGTGTTACACCTTGGCATGGCTATTTTCACACATGAACCAAAGAACTACCACCTAAAAACACTAACACAACTCACATTTGAAGATCATATGCCCAGCTGAAGTCACTGATCAGTCTGAATGTCATTCTCCCAAACTTATCACTTCCACTCTGTTTTCTTACCTCTTTCTGAATAGTCACTTTCATCTTAATTCTTTTGGAGTGGGGCTCTGTCCACAGGAAGCCAGCATCAATAAGACGCACCTGTGTGGGGAGAAGCATGTCATCATGACAAGTCTAACACATGCTATAAGGTGGACACACCATTATGATACTGCAATCCAGAACAAAAGGTCTATATGAAGATTATGTTTATTATTCATTCTGAATTGTGTTAAAGGAGCTGATTCAACTTTATGGCTATTTAAGAGCTGTGGCCATCCACTGATTGTCAAAAAATGTAGCAAATACTTTAAGCGTCAAAGCAACAACAAAACAAATCACTTATTGAGGCATTATGTTGTTGGGTTGTCTGTCCCTCCGTACATCCCATTCTCATGGACATGAAATCTCAGAAATGGCTTGAGGGACTTTCTTCAAACTCAAGGATGAACTGATTAGATTTTGGTGGTCAAAAATCAAGGTCACAGTGACCTCACGTTCGTTCCGTTCCCGTGGCCTAGACTGGCTGGTAGAGGCACACAACTGTAACGTGATAATTCTAGTTATCATTATGAAGTGGAAGCCTTTGGTTTTGGACTGTTGGTTGAATAAAATAAGACATTTATAGAAGCAAATTTTTGCTGTCAGAAGTGATAACAGGCAATTTTAATTATATTCTGACATTTTAAAGACAAAACATTTAATTACTTAACTGAGAAAATAATCAGAAGGTTGACATTAATAAAAAATAACTACAGCACTAGGTTAACTGTGAGAGCATAATTTCTTTTGTTATTCATTCTTACATTGTATCAGATCTTAATCTGTTACAGAAATGATATTATTTCAACTGCATGAATGTTTTCTCCTCTGCATACCCAGATTTCATTTTATTTTTGTATGATTATGTATGTGTGCATACATGCTCTTGTTCAAATGGATGTATGTACCCTTATGTTTCATGCTTTTTTTGTGTAAAATAATTGCAATTCTAATTTTGCTTGTTGACCAAAAACCTAATAATAAATATATATAACCCTATATATATAACCTTTCTAACCCAGAGAGAGAAGAAAGAGGAGGGGAACCGGGAAAAACTGGTGGTTATACCAGGGTTCATGTACAGTTTTTGTGCTGATATTGTCTTTTGTGAAGTTTAGTAAGAATCATACTCACTTTGCTCATAGAGCTCTTAAGTTTTTTCAGGCAAAGTGCCAACAGTTCTCTGGATTCCAGTGCACACTGTACCCAGGTGGCCGGAGGCTGCAAGTACCTGCATAAATGTAGAAGACAAATATTGAAGCCTCAGCTTTCCCAACAAAGTTTGTAACTGTAGCCTAAATGTTTTCTAGAGAGAATCAAGGACAGACACACTGACATTGTAAAAAAAAATGTATGACAGATTTGTACTTATAAAAACAACAATTACAAACAAACCTTTCACACTGTTTGCAGAAGTGCACTGTGACTTGCTTGGGGATTCCCTCTGAGATGTCTACCTGAGTACGCAGGCAGGCTACACACATGTTGGCAGGGTTGGGAGGAATAGGGACGCCACAGGTGCAGCACAGGCTACGGAGGAGAGAAGAACACTGGTCAAGTTCAGTGAAATAAATAAATAATGTAATTTTGTCTGGGTGGGTGGCAAAATGTTTGGATTTCAGACTATTCTATAAGGCCAACATGTACTACACATTACTGCCAATTCTGTCATTAAGTATAGCATGGTTTATTTTAAAATGCCTTCCTCATCTGTCTAGCAGTCATTTTTGCATGTTATGCAACTGAACAATTACATTTTACAGGGCTCATGAATCATCTCAACAAATATTTAGTTAAATGTCTATAGTTTTAATGTTGAAATCACGTGGGACGACGACGACTCCTCATCCTAGCTGCTGTGCTACAGGGCAAGTAGGAAACTGCCATTCAAGTTTTAAGAACTAGCAGGCAAACAGTAACTGAGTCCAAGAAACTACCAAATTCATATCACTGTGTCAGGACTACCACACAATACGGTTTCGAGATCATAAAAACCCCTTATACATTTTACTTACATATTCCCCTGACTGCTTGTGGCAGGAGCTTGCATGTATTCCATTCTTGTCAACTTGACAGGTCACAACAGATCACTGAAAAGAAGCAGCGCAGGTTCTGTAATTAACATTGCCAGCTCTAGATTGAAACAGTTAGCATAAAAGGCTAAAGTGCTAGTTTTGATGAGTGATTGTAAAAGTTATTCGTGGAGAAACAAGCACAGTGTTAACCAAAACTATTCGACTTCTACAACGGGTCCAAACGACTTATGACAACACTTACTGAAGTTCTCTCGATGACAAATCCACAACAATGCATTAAATAAAATCCCCCACGTTTTCTCCACCATGGACCATGGAAAGCTCGCTCTTTGATGACATCACTCAAGCCCGAAGGACCACGAGACTGTCCATGTTTGCCTGAAAAAAATTCATAAAAATTGTTAGAAATTAATAAAAAAATAAATATTCGGCATTAAATATTTGTTTCGGCTAATCCAAATCACCGAGCAAAAGTAAAGCAAACATAACTGTTAAAACAGAAACCAAAATATTGTCAACTTGGAAAGACCTAGTAGCCTACTTGAACTTAAAAAAGACAAGGAAAAATAAAATAAAATAAAGTAACACGATTTTGATGTAATTAACAAAAAATAAGCCCCATTATTATTGTCTTTGTGTGCATTGTGTTATTGTTGTTGTTATCACTCTCTTTAAACCTTTTTATTTTCCCTTTTCTTTTTCATATATTGTGTTTTGATTTTTGTTTTCATTGTTTTTCTTTGTGTGTGTCAGTCACTTTGGATTAACCGTATTGTGCGTAAAGTGCTCAGTAGTTAAAATAATAATAATTTGAGCTGAGTTGGGTTATTATGACATATTTAAATCTGAAATTCTTCCTTGCTATAACAAAATGTGGACATGCCTATTTATTCTGCTTGAACCTAATTTCATATAATTTTAGCAATAGCTTAATTATAATAATGTTTCAGTATAGTATATACATATATAATAAATAATATATATTATATTATAGTATATATAATGTCAGTATAGCATTTATTTGAATGCACAGTAAATTAGGGAGTCTTGTCTGAATTAAGAGTGTTATTCAGTAATATAAATCTAATCAAAGCACGTATCTGATAACATCGACAAAACTTAAATTGTATTAATTTTCATTCAAATCATCTCCAGATTAACTTGCTTGGGGACCCTGGGGCAGCAGGGCCCCAGGGTTCCAGCGCAGCTGAACACTTTGCGCAGTTGATAATTCGGGGCTCATTTATGGGATTATTTATCTGACTGTGTCGCTTTTTAATGAATTGGTCAAAGTTAGAAGCCTGGGGTTTAATATGTATAATTAATCGATCTACGGTCTTTGTGCGCACCTGTGCTCTCCAGATGCCTTCACGTGCTGTCGGAAATAGCACACATAAAGTCAAACTATCCCATATTTAACAGTCATGCTAGTTTGGCTATTGGTGGTACAGTAGTTAGCACTGTTACCTCACAGCATCATGAATGGATTTAATTTTACAGTACTTGTTTGTTTTTTTAAATGTTTTGCTGTGTTTTTCACTGGTTTTTAATTACAAGAGGTTTTTAGCCTGTCAAAGTTATAGGAATTATTTAGCTAATTTGTTAGGCTAATCCACTCATTGCAAATCTAAAACAAAATATTCTTGGCTTAAAAATTTCTCTGCTCAGATCAGTTATACTGTGCAAGCTGTGATTTAAAGTTGTTGTTATATCATCTCATGTTATGCGGAACATTTAGGCTATGAACATCGTGTTTGATTGTTTAATATGTGATTTTGCCTTCATTCCCAAAATGCAGTGTATCAGAAGTACCAAAATATTTGTGTTAATATCAAGACAATGATTTTATCCATGTTGTCCTTTGCAGATAATTTACTTTTAAATACCAAACTAGTGATAAAAAAAGATCTTTCAAAAAAATTGCTAAAGCATTACAATAAAATCCTACAGACAGAGGTGAAAAGCTATTAGGACTAATGCTTGAGGTATTGTACTCTACTTCAGTACATTACAGAGGAATATAGGCTACTCACCTCTTAAATACTTCAGATAAAAAATGTACATTAAAACAAAAAATATGATTATTTTATGACATAGCGTATACCTATATTATTAAAGACAGTGGTTCCCAAATGTGGCTTATCACTGACAAATGAGTCTTGTGGGGGTCTTTGTTTTATTTCATACATTTTTCCTCCCAAAATTTGACCCAGCTTCATTTCAGTGATTGTTTTAGCTAACTGTATATACATTAGTTAAAATTAGCTTTATCTTGAGCAGTTACAGTTCTATATACTATTTATACATTGATGCACCAGTATTAACAATTTAATAGTGTCAAATGGACTATAACATTTAATACAAAACTAAAATACTACTTTTAACATAATTTTGTTGGATTTTGACTACGTTTGTATTGCAGTATTTTTGGTTTGAAGTACTTCTTCCACCATTGCATATAGCCTTCCACTTAGATTCTGTGTTAACGCACTGACCGGTTTTCGCGACATTCCGAGCTGCACTTGAAGGCAGCACCACCGTGTAGTCGAGCAGTAGCAGAGATTCGCAGCCAGTGTGGCAGCTGGGAATGTGACTGCTTCAGCACAGACCTCTATTTTGGTCTCTGAGCACAGTGGTGGGGCTGACCGGAGAAAGGCTCGCAGCTCTGCTAAATCTAAAACACTGGCTTCATCTGAAGTCGACACGGGCAACCTGCGTTTTCTCTCCGCCTGTGTCGGTGTTCTGGGACCGCAGATGGTCAGCGGGCAGCCGTCGGTGGCTCACAGCGGGACTGTTTGTTAGAGCGAACCAACCGGGGCGCCGTTGTTTCTCCGGTCTGTGTACCTTACCCCTTGCCTGGTGAGTCCGGTTATAAACGCAGTGAAGTGTCACTCGTTAAGTCCAGTCCGTGTAATACTCATGTTTCCCGGTGCGAAACGCTTGGTTAAATGCGCCTGTTTCTCCGCTTCCAAACCACTCACACCAACGACGATGGACTGAAATCTGCGGCGTGGGCGAGCGACACACAACCTGCCGCGATTTTCTGCAAGTAAATAAATAAATGATAGAGGATACAATGACCCTGCTGTCCCTGCTAGGTCGGATCATGCGTTATTTTCTGCTCAGACCGGAGACCCTGTTTCTGCTGTGTATCAGCCTGGCTCTGTGGAGTTACTTCTTCCACACGGACGAAGTGAAGACCATCGTCAAGTCCAGCCGGGATGCGGTCAAGATGGTTAAGGGGAAGGTGGCGGAGATGATGCAGAACGAGCGGTTCGGCGGGCTGGACGTCCTGGACGCGGAGTTCTCCAAGACCTGGGACTTGAAGAGCAACAACGTGGCCGTGTACTCCATCCAGGGCCGGAGAGACCACATGGAGGACAGGTTCGAGGTGCTCACCGACATCGTCAACAAGAGTCACCCATCTATATTTGGGATTTTTGATGGCCACGGAGGAGAGGTGAGGAATAGAACTGCAATCATTTCCTTTTTATCCAGGGGCCCTAGATGAGCTAGGGGCCCTTCGGTGATTCTGAACTGAGTAGGCTATTTACCACAGTTAATTGTATGATTTGTTCTGTCTGCTTTGGTTTAAACCTGCTTTCAAATGTGCTGGTAAGTGTTCATTGAAACCAGAAGTGAGACAAAGCAGAGCATGCTGGGATCTGAGTTTGGCTGCAGGGTTTTCAGCTGCTATTTAAGCCAAAGTTGTCCTTCTTAGAATTTTGCAGCAAGGTAACCTTTTGTTGGGACAGTAACTAACAATATATTTCTTTTTAGACAACTGAATTTAGAACTAATTCTAGTAAATCTTTGAACATGATGTGAAATGTTGATCAGAAGTGGCCAGCCTTAGTTTTTAGTTAAAGCTGCTTAGTCTAGATTTAAGAGCATATGTCAGCTCTGATAACTGATTGTGTGTGTGTGTGTGTGTGTGTGTGTGTCTATATTTATATATATATATATATATAAAACATTCATGTGCAGAGATGTGATAAAGTTGAGTGGGGCCCTGGTACAAGTTTCTGTTCTGCTTTGATGCTACATGGCCCCAGATTTGCTGTATAGTAGCCTAATTTGATTACACACACTAGTTTTGGTCTTCAGAGTATTCAAACCACATTTTAAGATGGTAGTAAAGCAGGACCAACTCACAAGGTCCTTATCATGCCATTTGACATTGCGTTTTACTGATGCATATACTGAAATGGGTTTATCATTAAATCGGCTCAAACCAAGTGGTATGCGTGCAGGCCTTGGAGGGTAAGGAGTCTATTCTTACAGCAGTGCACACACCCTCTCCTACCCGCATCAACAGTTTTCTTCCAAATGACCATGGAACGGCATCTAGTTTATTTAAAGCTTAAAATTATGCCAAAGAAATGTCTTTTTTTTTTTTTTTTTTGGGCCAAAACAACATTTTTAGGATGCAGACAGCCTAAGCCCCATGATCTAACATGATTATAGCTAAAAAGAGGCAGAGGATGAACTGAAACTGGATGTGCTTCAGAGGCATGCCCACAGCTGGACGAGCTCAGGTCTGCTGGTCACATCCGCCTCCTCAGTTGACACTTGTTGGCCGCTAAGAAATATCTTTTCTTTCTGATTCTGTGGTGCAATCTAACGCTGTCGTTCGACACGAGCACATAAATGTGGTCTCGCATTCAGGGCAACAAGGGAACAGATTTACAAAGCAACTCACAAGAGGACTCTGGGGGGAAAAAAAAGCTGTCAGTTAAAAGGACAAAGAGCATTTGAGATAAAGCCGTGGTTAGAAATGAACATGAAGAAGATTTATCACGAAGTCATGACATGCTTGAACACTGGTGTTGTTTCATAGAACTTTAACCATGACCTCAGCTAATACATTAGAGCCACATAGAAATAAAGCATTCAAATTGGAAGTGACAGGTTGTCCTACTTTCCTTCTCTTCTGCCCTCATCTCATCTCGTGCATTAAACATTACACACTTTTTGATCAGCCGGGAGCTGAGGAGCTCCGGGCTGTTTTGTGCCTGACACCAACTGTCTTCATTCTGAGTTTGACTCTGATTGAAACTGAATGATAACATGCTAAAAATAGGCAGCCAAAGACATAGAGGAAGGCTGTTCTTTTAAGGGAAATTAAATTTTAGACTTCGGCCCTGACTGCTGCAGCTTTTGACCAAAAGTGGTCATTGGATTGTTTTTCCCTGAGGCCTTTTCCCCCCCATGCCAATTCCCTCTGTGGTTATTCTTTTTAGAGACCTATTCTGTGACCCCTGCTACATCTACTGTAAACCACACATGGTTAGGAGACTTGGATAAATTAATAGTGAATGGAAGATCCAGTATACATTTTTATATGCGACAGAAAAAGGAGAAAACAAGTGGGAGAGCATCACTGGTGAGTGTGAGAGCAAGAAGAGAGGGCTCAGATGTGCCCATGTAGGCGTGAGTCTGTTTTATGGCTGCATGTCCATGGGCAATAATTCAGTCTGTTTTCATTCCCACACCCTCTTTTGAAGTGTGTGGTTGCCAGACAGCTTCAGAAGCAGCTTTCTCTGTGTAGCAAATTTAGATTGTTTTTATTTTTATTTTTTTGTTCAGAGGACATTGAATAAAGCAGAGGAGTGCTGTGTGGCCCAAAGCAAGACTAGAAATACTGGCTGCCTCAGCTGGCTAGCTAGTGGGCCGCCTATCACTTTCTCACACACACACACACACACTCAAACCACATGCACGATCATTAAAGAAATCTCAGCCTTGTGTCAACATCTACAGTGGCCAGGGGTTCATCCCAAACCTTGGACACTGTTTTTCGAAGCCTGTAACAGACAGAAATGCTAAATACATTTTCAGTGGGGTATGAATGTGCCAAATAATTAGTGCAGTGATTCAACAGAAATATCAAGGGAAGAAGTAGTGGATCCAGATTTTTGTTACTGATGAATCTGCCCATTATCTTCTTGTTTTGTCAAGTAGGCATTTTGTTTATAAATGACAAAGTGAAAATATTGGTGGCATTTTCCTAAAGCCAGAGGTGATATGTTCAAATAGTTTTTTTTTTTCCTCTTTAGCTCAACACCAATGAAGGGTGTTCACTTTAATAAGACAAAGAAAAGCAGCGAGTTCTTAAAATTGCGAGGTACGAGAGTAATTCACTGACTATCAAAATAAGAATTTACATGTATATGCAATATATATTTGCTGTAGTCGCTTTTGTGACCAGGAAAACAATCACATCCATGAAAATAATGTACATAGCGGATATTTTGCACTATGTGATGTATAAAAACACAGATTTGAAACACATAGGTGCAGCATGATTGGCAGCCTCACGGCGGTGGCAGGTATCTGTGCCCAGCTAAGGAATAGCCGAGTTACAGCACGTGACATCTTGTAAAACCATGATCTAAACCATGAACTATCTCGTCCAGATAACAAATTTGTGTATTTCCCAAAATGTCAAACTATACCAGTGTTAATTTGCATTTGCAAACTGGTCAGAGGTGATTTCCCTTCTGTGAAGTCCTGAATGTGACTCCACCAAGTTGGAGACTAGAAGCTTTAGAAACAAAGTAAGTTTCAACCTGTCATATTCTACCACGTCACTGGAACCAGTCGATTTACTAGCAGATAAATCCTAATTCAGTGCCAGATAACATGTGGAAGTCTTTATTCTCTTTCTCTCTCGCTTTACACCACACACCCACTCACTCACTGACACAAATTCAGTTTTCAGTGTTTAAAATTTGTGTTAAATGGGAACAGATCCATTGGCGGTCTCTGTCAGATGTTGGCTCATTGAGGGGAATTATCTGTTAAATGCAGATTGATTTTTAGCTGACACATGAGAATAAGCTGCATGAAAGTGATAACCCTGGGCTCTCCGTCCATATAACAGCAGCATGAGCTGGTTGCTATGTACCGGCGTGTGGCAGGTCTGCTCCTCCTCGTGCCGCTATCAGGTTGTGGCTTCAGGCGCAGCAGAATTACCTTCACTGTAGAGCACAGAGAAGACGTGCTATGAGCCCATTTAACTAGAGCATGTGGAATGCTTTTCTAGAACCACAGGAACAAAGACTGTTTTTGGAGGGATCCTCTCTGTCTTTATTCAGCTCAGACTGTTTAATTAATTCACCTTTGCTTCATACTCAGAACGAACGTTTTTCATTTTCATTGTACATTTTTGAATCACTAAGTAGACAGTCATGTGGCATAACTTCTTTTCAAAACAAAGGACATTTTATGTTAGGAAGGTTGGTGTTAGAATTGGAGTTATTTTAATGTGTGTTTATGTGCATGTTGCAATTTATTCCAGAAGAAGAAGGTGGGTTATGTACTAAGCACTTTGAACTCCTCCTGTGCCCTTCACTGGAGAGATGAAAGAAAGAGCCAGCATGTGACTAATTGCACTGCTGGCATTACAGGATTAGAGCAGGGGGTGTGGGAAGACCAAGGACAGCAATGTATGTGTTAATATTTATGTGTGTGTGTGTGTGTGTTGCAAGCTTGCACAAGAAGGTGCACTGCTTCTCCTTCATTGATAGTGTGGAGATGAGAGGGGCAGTTTGGTGTTATCTGGTCTTCCAGGGATGGACGACTTCCCTGTGAGGGACTGAAATGCCAAAGGCCTATCGGGACCAGACACCTGCTTCCCACTATTTTACATCACATCTTCAGTCAGTGGCCTCAGTAAGTCCATTTTATAGACTTGGACATGCTCATAGAAATGTCATTAACTGAATAAATTAAGGTAGAGAATAGTGACACTGTTAAAGCAACTATTATCAGTCATTTTATATATGTATATAGTTGTATCTTAAGGTTGTGTCAACTAAAACCAATATACATTTTCCTAAGAGAATGAGACCAAAACTAAATCAGAGTTGGGTGCTACAATTAGCGTTTCTGTGCATATGGCTTGCAAACACTAAACATGAGTGACTCATTCGACCTGCACGAAGGTACAGTAAGTAGGGAAGTTATCCATTCACAGCCAGACCCAGGCTGAAGTACCAGCAGCGGGGCTTCAGTCATATCCTGAAGTGTCCTTGAGTAGGACAGAATTCCTGGCAGATCTATCGGTTTACTCTGCACTTTGACCATTCTGGGCAAATAAGTGGAAATCATCTAACAGGAGGAGTAAAATTGCTCGTCGCTACTGTTATTCTCCTGTACCCACTTCTGTCATTCGTGGCAAAAGTTGATGCTCAACGTTTAGCCCTTCCTTGATTGCGAGTGAAATGGAAAGTGGAAAGGGAGATCGTGTTGTGCTGGAAAATGCTTGTCCAGCAGAGAAGAGACCGGAGAGCAGGAGCACTGTGCTGAAAAGTCTTTTGACTTTTCAGTAATTTGTCCCTGGTGGTGAGGTTTGTTGTCCTTATAGTGAGAGGACTGTCAAGGAGGGACTGAGGAGTGGAGTGAAACACACAGCAAATGAATCAGGCTTTTTCCTGTCAAGCAGCCTGAATGTTT